GGGCACCGCCCATCATGTCACTTTCATGGGCGCCGCCTATGGGATCAAGGTCATGAGCTCTTCTTTTCTCTACCCCATGAATTTTTGAGCTCCTAGTCTCAATTGCCTCAATTTGGTTTGAAAAAAAGATCAGAGGAAAAGACTAAGGGAGAAATGGTGATGAACAGTGAAAAATGGTGATGAATAGTGAAAAATGGTGTTGAATAGTGAGAAAGGGTGTTGAATAGTGAAAAGTGGTGATGAACAGGGAAAAATGATGTTGAATAGTAAGAAAGGGTGTTGAATAGTGAAAAATGGTGTTGAACAGTGACCTCCATTTATAGAGAAAGAAGTAGTGCAAAAAAAAAAAAAATTCAGTGAGTCCCTGAGGATAAAAAGATACCGTGGGAAGCAAGAAAAATTATGACTCACCTAGATGAAGACAAAGCACAAAGGCTTGGGACATAGGGGCAAATGATGAGCCCGAATTTAACTAGGCCAAACCCAATTTAATTAAACCAAGAAAGCCCAAAGAAGAACCCAATCGGAGTTGGATCGACCCATTAAGAGGAAATCTAAAAGGACATCAAGAGGCCAGCATCAAGGATCCCNGGATCGACCCATTAAGAGGAAATCTAAAAGGACATCAAGAGGCCAGCATCAAGGATCCCCTAAAGGGGGGAACCGTCCATATGGTCTCCAAGTGGGCGCCGCCCATGGCCTGCCCTTTTGTTCCTCTCCTCCCTTCTTCACTCCAATGCAAGTTCAAGTCCAGCCCACTCCAAGTCCAAGCTCAAGATCAGGATTATCCTCCAACAGAATAGGGACACGAGCGAAAGAATATCGGGTTATAGAGATCCAATTCTACTAAAATTGTACTTGCCAAAATAGTAGAAGTTTTCTCCCTCACGTCACCGTCTCACCGCCTTACTAAGCCTATATATTGTAAACCCTCTCCACANCTACTAAAATTGTACTTGCCAAAATAGTAGAAGTTTTCTCCCTCACGTCACCGTCTCACCGCCTTACTAAGCCTATATATTGTAAACCCTCTCCACATAGAGGGCATGATCTTGATGCCTTCATGACCTTGGGACTTCTACAAGATCCCTACACACACTACATTTCCCTACACACATTGCTTCTTTCTCCTCACCATTGTAATACTCTCGGAGTATACTCTCCCGGAAATTCTATTCAACAATAAAACATCCCAGGCCACCGTTGCCATTCCCGAGAGTGGAGTAGGTCATCTACCGAACTACTATAAATTTGCGTGTTTTGCTCTTATTTACTATTTTGCTATTGATTGGCTTTTTTATTGCTCATTAACTGTATCTTTATTCATTCTTGATTGTTGATTTTGCACAAAACCAATTTGTGCATCATTACTTTCATTGACGATGCTGAAAAAAATAAGAAAAAGAATTCGATTATATTTACTTGGAAATAGATCAAAATTAGTTTAAACACCATATAAAGAAACAAGCTTCAAGGAAAAGAATAAGTGTTATGTTGAGACTTTGTGGAGTTGAGTGCTGGGTTGAAGTTCCATGGGTTTGCCTCAGTAACCATAGCGAACCTATTAGGGTTTGTTTGGATAAATTTTGGGGAGGAGTTTGAATTGGTTTCTCNGGTTATGTTGAGACTTTGTGGAGTTGAGTGCTGGGTTGAAGTTCCATGGGTTTGCCTCAGTAACCATAACGAACCTATTAGGGTTTGTTTGGATAAATTTTGGGGAGGAGTTTGAATTGGTTTCTCTAAATCCTTCCAAACACAAATCTCTCTTTGCAAAGATGAGATTCAACATTCAATCCGGTTCATACCCATATTTGGTATGTAACACATACACATATATGACTCACGGATAGATCATAATTATTAACAACTATTTGTCCTATAAATGACTATTTTACTCTTGATCAATCCAATCCATACCCATATTAAGGGATCCTTAACTCCTTACACATCTTCCCAAACTCACCATCCCCTTAGGTTTGACGAAACTCATGATCATGAGTTTAATCTTCGAGCCAGCTACGGGCTGAGTTTGGAAACTCGGGACTGAATTTTCTATACAAATATGAGATTTAGGGGTTCTTTGAACTATTTTCCACAAACCCATCTTGCCAAGTCCCC